CTTCACTTCTCACACCTACTGCCTTTCCTTCCCAAGGCCCCAGGGAACCAATCTAAAGTAAGAACTGGATGGAGTCACCCTGCCCAGCCCAGCCCAAAACCTATCCAGAGGGTCTCCATTGCCATTGGGAAAGTCTAGACCAAATGTCTTAGGTGGATTCTCGGAATACAGCACTGAGCTGGGGTATGCATCTGGGAGAGGATTCTAAAAGACAGGAAAGAGGAGCTGGAAATGGATAAAGGCCATTGAAGGATGCTGAAGAAGTCTGCATCTTGCATGCTGCACTGCATTTCATTCCACCAGAATCTCTGAGAATTGTATGTAATGAAACCCAGGTTTGTCTGAACAAATGACAGGTGACAGGCATTTTTCAGTGGTTCCCACTCCAACCCCTGCCCACAGCTCAGAAGACTGAAATAGAGAAAGAAGTTGGGTTCTTCTTAGCTGGGCCATGCACCAGAATCAACTGCTGTGAGCCTTCAGCTGTGCCTTCCACAAAGACTGGTCCTCAGCTGACAGGAGCTGATTAGCTAGGATGGTGAACAACCTACAATTAGAGATTCACTGGAGTGGGAGCATCCCCTTGCTTTTTCGAGAACAACAGTGTGGTTCATCCTGTGCTCCAGAACCTTCCCTAGGTACCAGGCTAGGAACAGACTGTCAGGCTGGGCATTGTGAGAAGGGGACTCAGGTGTGTCACTTAAGGCTGAGGTCCCAAAACCAGGCACAAGGTGAGGTCTTGATATGGAATGGAGCCAGTATTCAGGCATCAAAATGCAACCAAACACAGAACCAGGGTGAGCATGAGTCTTTGATGGAGTCTGGCCCTGTACCCACTGCTCCTAGTCCCAGGGGATACCCAACTGATCCCAGATCCTGGCAGGTGGTGATGAGACTCTGTAGTCACAGGAAGAATTGCCTACAGAGGATAAGGTAGATGGCACAGCTCCCTACACCCAGCAGACCTTAAGCACCTGCAGACCAGGAGTTCCCAATGTAATGCAACACCTCTGAGAAAAACCATGGGCAAAACCCATACCAGGTGCTGTAGGATCTGCCCCCGTGCCTGGCATCCCTCTTGACATTGCCTGAGCACCAGCTTCCTGCAGAAAGATGCAGGCAGTGCCCCATGTTGGCAGGCCCTTTCCAGGGCCCCTATCTACTAACCTCCACTAGTCAGATCCCAAGGAAAGGTCACAACTTCCCTTCTGACCAGGAATGCTCAGGACAGGGCCCTGTGGCCCTCTCCCCATCACCTCTAACTCCACACTATCCAGAGTACATGTGTGCATCCCTCTTCAGACTCAATCACACTTGAAAGATGGTCCATGTCTTTCCTTCCAGAACTCCTGAAAGCATGGCTCAGAGAAAAGCTACATCTCTTCCCTCATACCAGCTTCCTAAGATCCAGTTTTCTCCATGAACTCCCTTTCCCCATCCATGAGGCCAGGAAAATCATGCCTGCCTCATACAGAGGCTGTGCATGGAAAGCAAACTGCATATCTCCATGGCATTCAATACCAACCCAGCGCACAGCGTCCACCCCACAGAGTGCTATTTGGCAATAAAAATAATGGAAGTCCTGACACAGACTGCAGCACGGATGGACCTCGAGCACACGGTTCTAAGTTACAATCACGTATGGGAACATTTCTACGCAGTGTCCAGAACAGGCAGTCTCTAGACAGAAAGTAGATTAGTTGTTGTCTAGAGTGGGCTTGGAGGGCAGAAAGGATTGGGGAAGGAAGGGAAAGGGGAACAGGATTTCTTTGGGGGGTTGTAAAACATCTGTAAACTTGATTGTGGTGATTGGCGTACAACTCTGATTATAATAAAGCCATTGAAGTGTAAATTTTAAATGGGTGAATGGTACAGTATGCGAATATCTCAGTAAGTCTGCAACATGAAAGACAGACACGCCAAGAAAAATAAAACCAGAAAAACGCGACTCTCAACCTAGAAAATGAACCAATCAGTAGGACAGGTCTAGAAATGATAAAGATGATAAAATTAGTTGACAAGGCTTCATATTAGCTACTGTAAATATGTTCAAAATTTAGAAGGGAACACAGACATAAGAAAGAGAAATATAAAACAAAAGAGAACCAAAACCCACTAGAAAAAGAGAACCAAGGAAACTTCTGGAATTGAAAAAGTAGCATGTGAAATGAAAAATTCACTTAATAGCAGATTTGACGACAGAAATCAATGAACTTGAAGACAGAACAATAGAATTTATCCAAACGGAAATATAGAGGATTTTAAAAAGCCAAAATATTGAACAGTGCCTCAGTTACCTATAGGACAGTTATAACCCTTCCAAAATACATATACGAGGAAGTATGAAGAGGGAATTACTGACATTTTCTCATTTCCAGCTTGATGAAAAGCATAAATCTAAGGAACCAAAAAGCTCAAAGAACTCTCAAAATACAAAGAAAACCATACCAAAGGACAGCAAAATCAAATCACTGAAGAACACTGATAAACAGAAAAAAATCTTCATCTGGGGGGGAAATGACATATTTTGTATAAGGAACAAAGACGAGAAGACAGTTGACTTCTTGTCAGAAATAATGAAAGCCACAGGACAATGAGGTGACATTTGGGGGGGGCTATCAATTTAGAATTTTTCCAATTAAAACAACTTCTCCATGGGTTGCAGATTTAGCTCAGCCGCATAAGCACTTGCCTAGCAAGCACAAGGTGGTGAGTTTGATCCCCAATCCCACTCCAAACACACACAAAAAAACTTCCCCCAATAAACACAAAATAAAGACATTTTGGCAACCAACGGGTTCAAACAACAATTGCCAGTAGGACTTGTACTACAAAACAATTTTGAAGAAAAATTTTCAGACCGAAGGAAAAAGATCATACAAGTAAATCTGATGTACAAGATAAGGAAAAGGACAGGAGATGGAAAATATATACACTGATTTAAAAGATTTTTCTTTAAAGGCAACTGTCTGTTTATAACCTATAGAGAAGCCAAACATAACTACAGTAGGAGAAAGGAAGGGTGAGAGTGAATGGGAGCCTACTGCGGAGAGATCTTATTTATAGATTATAATTCATGGTTTCAAGGTACATTGTTAAAGATTCACTCTATAGACTCCAGGGCAATTACAGAGAGAGAGAGAGAGAGAGAGAGAGAGAGAGAGAGAAAGAGAGGCACTAATAGTCAAAAGTGACGAAATAAAAGAGAAAACCAAAACAAACAAAAACCCTCAATCCAGCTGAATGTGGGGGCTCATACACATAACCTCAGCTACTCACAGGTACTCAAAAGGCTACAGAAGGAGGATTACAAATTTGAGGCCAGCCTGGGAGATCTAGTGAAATCTTGCCTCAAAAAGTAAAAATAAAAGGGGCCGCAGTGTAGCTAAGGGCACAGTGCTCACCTACCATGTCCAAGGTCCTGGGTTCAACCCCCAGGACTGCAAAACAAAACAAAACAAAATTCTTCAAACCAAAGGAATTCAAGGGGAAAGCTTAAAAATAAAGAGCAGAGAGAATGATTCGGAAAAAAGTCCCAGAAAAATGGTAGAAGTAAACCCTAACATAGCACTCTGCATGAGGCTCCATGGTACAGCAGGGATTTTACTAATCCTGCTATTTTAAAAACTAAAACACCAAGGCCAGGTATGGTGGTGTGTACATCTGTAATCCCAACACTCTGGGAGGCTGAATCAGGAGAATCACAAGTTTGAACCTACACTGAGAAATCTAGCAATTAAGTAAGACCCTCTCTTTAAAAAAAAAAAAAAAAAAAGTCCTTTTTAAAAAGGGGCTGGGTATGTAGCTCAGTGCAAAGGCCCTGGGCTGAATCCGCATTATTGCAAGCAAACAAACACCTAGAAAACCAGCTCTGACATAGACCACAACACTGAAATGTGTTCCCTAAAGGAAAGGAAATAAGTTAAAAACTTAGTAACCTCTAGGAAATTAACATCCCTCCAGTCTCCAGTGACTCATAGGTCAAAGAAGAAATGACAAGGGAAATTAGATAACATCTTGAAAGGAAAAGAAATGGAAACAACATCAATGTGTGTGAGTTCCAGAAGTAAGCAGTTCTGAGAGAGTAACTCAGAGCTTCAACTGCTCTAGCTATGGATGAGCACATCCTCCAACAGAGAAGTGGGGTGGTTGCTATAGCAACATCTGGCATGTGGCTATGGCCTTGGAACTAGGTAATGGGTAGAGATTGAAGAACTTGGAAAAATAGACCAGAAAACCTAGAGTACTATAAATGGAGCTTTCAGAATGATTGCAGTGAACATTTACATGTTAATCAGCCTTTCCATCCCTGGAACATTGAGAATAGGAAGGTTTTTGTTCCTCTTACACTTTCAGAAGGTCCAGTCCATGGTCACTAGGTTTCAAGGCACAAAGATCATGGTGGAGGGATGCGTCAGGGCAAGGCTGTTCCCTTGTGCTGGCTGGGAACAGAACACAGGTGAAGAGCCAGAGGAAGGCACAAGGGATCAGATGCAGCCCCTAGATTATGGCCCTCTCTGATTCACTTCTGCCTCTTATCCCTGCCTCCTAAAAGCCCATTCAGTTATGACTTCCTCAGTGGTTTAATTCATTGATGAAATTACTGCCCTCACAATCCAATCAGCTCCCCCCAGAGCCCAGTCAAGTTGATGGACAAGATTAACCAGCACAATTTAGAAGACAAGAGTCTGGGGCTTCACCTAGATTTGCTTAGGTGATCACGAACAGAATATTGACAGAAAGGTGGGTGCTAAAGTACTTCTGGTAATGACTCAGATGGAAACGAGGACCCAAAAGTGGACACTGGACACAGTCCCATCCTGTTATGAAGCCACAAAGTGCTTGGCGGAACTATGTTCATGCCTGAGGGTTTTGTGGGATGCAGAACTCAAGAGTGACAAAGCTTGGATACTGGTGGAAAAAACATATAACCAACAAAACATTCAGGCTGCTCCATGGCTGCTCCTGGCTACTTACAAGGAGATGTGGGAATAATAAGCTGATTTAAAAATGAAATTTGTAATTAAAAGAGAAGCAGAGTGGACAGATATGGAAAAGTCTCAGTTTGGCCATCTCAAGAGTTCAGGGGGGAATAGCGAGGGTGTGGCCAAGTATTTCTTGCTAAAAGATGAGTACAGATATGAGAGAAGTGGGGTGTGGTCTGGCAGGACACAGAGTTTGGGCCCACCAGGGAGGGCTGTCGGCCGGAGACCCCAGCAGAGCTTTCCAGGCGAGGCTGTGACACTTTGGTAGCCCAAATCCCCAGGACGCCCAGGCTTTGGCATATAGAGTGGAAGATTGTTCTGGAGTCTGAAGCTTTAATTTCCGCATACTGGCTTTTGGACGTGCCCGTGGCCCGTTACCTCCTCGTGCTTACCCCCTCTCCTTTTGGAGTGGGAATGTCTGCCCTGTCCCTGTCCTGTTATTGAATGTTGGAAGAAGACAACTTGTTTTGGTTTCAGAGGCTCACAGCTGGAAAGGAGTTTGCCCTGGGTGAATCATGCCTTGAGTCTCATCCATATCTGATTCAGACGAGATGCTGGACTTTGAGCTTTTGAAGCGATGCTGGAACCAGTTAAGACTTATGGGACGCTTGGGATACAATGAGTATGTTTTGCATTGCGAAAAGAACATGAATTTTGGGGGCCAGGAGTGACATGCTTGATTATGTCCCCCCCAAAGATTTGCTTGTTCCCTCGAAAGTTCATGGGTTGGAAGCTTAATTCCTGGTACAGCAGCCATGGGCATAAGTGGGAGCTTTACACCATCAGGATTCGAGCCTCAGGGCTGGGCTCTGGAGACTGGGTAAGCTCCCACGGGAGCGGCTTCATCCCCTCCAGAGCAGGTCATTATGAACGTGCGTTTGGCTTTGCTCTGCCGCTATTATGGAGAAACAGGGAGGCCCCTCCAGGAGCTGAGCAGAAGACGCACCCTGCCCTCAACCTTTTCAGCCTCGCCAGCCATGGTCCAAGTAAACTTCTTTTCTTCATCAGTTACTTGGCTTGTGGCATTCTGTTATAAGAGCAGAAAACAGAAAAAGACAGTTACCCACTCCAAAATCAACTAGGAAAAGCTAGCAAATGGAAAAGCAAGCTTGGTACAGAAGAACACAAACAATGAAAGAGAAAACAAGCAATGAATTGGAAAATGGACAAAAATAAAGAAAACCACTATATTAACTGTACGCATGAATAGAGTTCAGTGTGATACCAGAGTGCACGCATCCAGTGCACTGATCAAATCCCATTTCCCTTCATTCACCCTTCTCCCACTTCCCGAGTGCTAGTTATTTCTTTTTTATTTTTACTCACATGTAAAAAATATGTGACACTTGCCTTTCTGTGTCTGGATTATTCTACTTCATGTTAGTTCCATGAATTTTGCTGTAAATGGCAGGATTTCATCTTTATGACTGAATAGTGTATATATAACACTTTTTTCATCCTTTGATGAGCAGCTAGGTTGGTGCTATATCTTAGGTGTTGTGAAAAACTGTAGTAAACATGGGTGTGCAGGTACCTCTTTAGTATGATGATCTTATTTCTTTGGGATATATACCCAGAAGTGAGACAGCAAGATCATCTGCTAGGTCTATTTTTAGTTCTTAAAGGATTCTCCATATTGTTTTTCAACCACCAGTGCATAAAAGTTCCTTTTTCTCTACATCGTGGTTAGCATTTAAAAACATAATAGCCATATTAACTAGGGTGAGGTGACATCTTTCTGTAGCTTTTATTTGCATTTCTCTGATGGCTAATGACAACAATCAGTTTTTCAAATTTGTGGCCATTTGCACGTCTTTTGAGAACTGACTTTCAGTAATTTTCCCTTTTAAAACTGGATTAATTGGGGTTTGTTTTTCACTTTTGACTTTCTTACATGTTCTGGATATTAATCTTTTGCCAAATGAAAATTTAGCAAATATTTTTCTCCATTCTATAAATTGGGTCTTCATTCTTTTTACTGTTTCCTTTATGTAGAAGCTTTGATGCACCAAAACACTTTTTATGACAAAAACAATAAACAAACTAGGAATGGAGGAAAATCTTCTCCATCTGATAAAGGACATCTATGAAAACACCGTAGCTAACATCACAGTGATGAAAGATGGAAAGCTTTGCCCCAAAGATCTGCAATGAGACAAGGATGTCTGCTCTCTTCACTTGTAATCCACATTGTATTAGATGTTCCAGGCTGAGTAATTAGGCAAGAGAAAGAAATAAAGTCATCCAATGTGGAAAATATAACTGTCTATTTGCAAATGACATGACTCATATGCAGAAAATCCTAAGGATTACACAAGTACACAGGCATATACACTGTTACAGTCTAGATCTAGATTGTCTCTGAAAAGGCTCATGAGGTCAGAGGGAGGCTGGATCAAGGATTCATCCACTGAAGAGTTCAGAACTAAATGTGCTGTTAGGAGGCACGGTCTGGTCAGAAGAAGTGGGTTACCGGGATTGTGACTTAGAAGATCTCTCTCTCTCTCTCTCTCTCTCTCTCTCTCTCTCTCTCTCTCTCTCTGTCTGTCTCTCTCTCTCTCTCTCCACCCCCTGCCTGGCTGCCATAGGAAAGTGAGTAACACAGGATGTGGCTTGGAAGGCTGTATTCTCACATCCAGCTCCCTCCTCCTCTCCCCATTTCCTAGCCATGATGCTGCGGTGAACAGCTTTTTTCTACCATGCTGTTTCTGCCGTGCGTCCAGCTGACAATGAACTGAATTCACTGAAGCTGTGAGCCATAACCTCTCCTCCTTTAAACCGTGGGTGTTTGGTTTTTGTTCTAGTGATGGGAAGTGACTGAGATATGCACATACAAACACAACTAGGAAAACTAACTAATGTCAGCAAAGTTGTAGAATACAAGATAAGTATACAAAAACCAATCGTGTTTGGGGGATGCATAATCCTAAAGTGAAATTAATACCACAAATGCCAAGTTGTTTACCTGGAAACAAATTTAACCAAAAATATGAGCTTCATACTATAAGAACCACAGGAAATAGTGGAAGGAAATTAAAGAACACCTAAAAAATGAAAAAACTGACATAAACCCTGCATGTATGCATTTGAATCCACACTTGTAATCCACATTGTAGAATCACAGAATCACCATGGCCTATGGCACCTACCATTACTAAAACGGTTATAATTCTTAAAATGACCACCAACTCAGTGCAATACTTATCAAAATCCAAGTTGCTTCTCGTGTGGATATTGACATGCTAACCCTAAAATCATGTGAAAATACAAGTGACTCAGAAGAGCAAGAATGGTCCTGAAAAAGAGTAAAAATTGGAGGACTTCAAAAAATTACTATAAATCTATAAAAATCAAAACATGATACTAACATAAAGATAGACCTATAGATTAATGGCATAAAATCAAGATTCTAAAAATAAGCCCACATATTTATAGATGATAGTCGGTATGAATGTGTTTTCAATAATTTGTTGTTTTGAGACAGAGTCTCACTACCTAGGTTCTAGCTAGCCTTGAACTCACTATGTAGCACAGACTAGTCTCTAACTCACGGAGATCCTCTTGCCTCAGCCTCCCAAATACTGGGATACAAGTGTGTGCCATCACACTTGACTTCAATAAATATTGACACAACTGTATATTCACATGCAAAAGAATGAATGTGGTCCCCTCCCTCATCCCATATACAAAAGTTACTCAAAATGATAATCCAGGCTTTCTCTGTATCAAGATTCTTACTTTAGCTACATATCACATACACAAACCTACTTGCCATGTGAGGTGACATATTCATACGTCCTGAGGATAAGGACATGGACATCTTTGAACATTAAAATAAGACATGCTGTATATTCAGGAAGGTACATGAAAGATTGAATATTTTAAGCAGAGATAGAGATTTAAACTATGAATTCAATTTCTTTAATTAGTATGGCACCATTCAGGTTCTCTGTCATCTCAAGTGAGTTTTGGTGATTTGCTGTTACTGAGGAATTGGTCCTGTGAGCTCCATTGTGATGTCCACCACTTTCAGGGAGTTGACTTGGCCTTTGGTGTGAGAGATTGGAGAGAAGAGAAAGATGGCCTTTGTTCCCCCTGAGCTTGAGGGTGCCCCTTCCTTCTTGGACTGGAACTAGAATGTTTTTCTGGGGTCCTCATTATTCACTTGAAAGTTCATTTCTAGGTTCCAGGGTGCACTGTATTGGGGCAGAAGACACTGGAGGAGAAAAGCTGGCAGAATCACCATGGCCTATGGCACTATGATTTGGGCTGCCTTTCCCAACATGATCACTAATATCAATGGCTCAGAGTCCCTTGATGGCCATCTTGTGGATTCTGTGCTGAGTTTCCAACTGCATGCAACCAGGGAACAGGGTGGCATGGACTCACTCCACCTTACCTCATTCTGGAATTTTGCTGAATGTGTTGGTTCATAACTGTAATCTCAGTACTTGGGGTGGGGCTGAGGTAGGAGGATTTGTGAGTTCAAGGCCACTTTGGGTTACCCAGTGAGTTCAAGGTCAGCCTGAACTACCTAGCAAGACACCACTGCAAATCAACAACAGAAATAAAAACCAAACAAACAATACTCCCCCAACAAAAGAAGACCCCAAACGAATTAAAAACAGAGCTGGAAACTGAAGATTCCTTAGACATATAAGAGCTAAAATAATTCACTGCCAGCAGATATTAGCCGAGAAAGAGAGAAATCAAGTTCTTCAGGCAAAAGAAAAATTATACCAGGTGAAAATCTGGATACATATAAAGGAAGAAAGAGTATGGGAAATGTTAAGCATGCAGGTAAACATAAAAGAGTTTCTTATTTCTAAAATCTTTAGAAAAGGTAATCAGCCACTTAAAACACAAATGAGGACAGTGCATTATGGCATTCATAACCTGTAGGAAAATGTATGTCAGGGCCAGGGATTTAGCTCAGTGGCACAGCACCTGCCTGGAAAACGGTAGGACAGCAAAAGCACAGTGGGTGGCAGAGAGAGAGCAGAGCGTGTGGCGATAGAGTTCCTGCACCGCCGGGAAGGGCTGGCATGTTACTTGACGGTGGAAACTAAATTAGCGATGTACAGGATAAGCCATACATGATCACTAACAATAAAAAACTAACCAAATAAAATAATGAACGAAATAAAATGGACTCGGGCTGGGGATTTAGCTCAGCGGCATAAGCGCCTGCCTTGCAAGCAGGCAGTCGTGAGTTCGATCCCCGGTACCAATAAAAAGGAAAAAGACAAAAAAAAAAAAAAAAGAAATAAAATGGACTCATAAACACCTTAATTCACTCAAAACAGCAAAAAAAAGAAAGAAAAGAGAAACAAAAAATAGATGGGTCAGATATCAAGATGTCAAATTTACATTCTGCCCTATCAACAATGACAGAAAATGTAAATAGCCTAGAGGAGCAAATGGCAAACTATGGCCATCTGACCAGACCAGATCTGCAGCCTGTTCAACAAGGCTCTTAGGCTAAGGACGGTTTGTGTACTGGCAAAGTGTTTAAAATGAAGAAAGGGAGGAGAGTACGTAGCAAAGACCAGATGTTGCCCACAAAGTCTAGAATATTTACTACTTGCCCTTTACAGGAAAGTTCTTCAACTGCTGGTCTAAACATCCCCATGAAAAGGCAGGGGTTGTCAGGTTGGATAAAAGGACAAGACCCAAGAGGCTCCTTAGAAGAAACACACTATTTATAGGAAGATACAAGTAAGTTAAAAGTAAAATACACGTATTACTTTACATTAATAGTATCGCATCCCGATAGAATGATATATATATTTAACACTAATCAAACTACAATCAGAGTGGCTCCATTAATAATTTTTAAAACGTAGACTTCAAGACAAAGAATGTTACCAGAGATGAGAAAGGTCAGTTCACAATAACAAAAGGGTCAATTCATCAAAAGGATTTAACAATCCTAAATGTTTATGTTCTTGACGGCAGAGATTCAAAACACATGAAGCAGAAACTCTAAATAGAAACAGATGTGTCAACAGCCAGACATTTCAACAC